ACAGAGATTAAGGAAAACTTTGTATGTTTGTTTAATTGTAATGAATAGGCTCAAAAACTACTGGACTGATTTTAAAAATTCTTTCACCATTCTAAAGATACTTTTGAAAAATAAATTGGGTTCCGTAAGATATTTGGGTTATTCGGACACAAGTAGTAAAAAATCAACCAGAAAAAATACTTATTTTGCGTACGCTGCCTAGACTATAATAGATAGAACCATAAAATGTTCTTATTAGTTGTAGATCTTATAAATATCTACAAAAAAGTCCGCGTCACACTATACCTATCGATGTCGAGTGAGGCACAACAACCATTTTTTTATTTAAAAATCTTGATTTTCTTTGGACTACTTTTAAACGCGTTTATTTTACTCAGGCTATTAATCCTTATCAAAATACAATAAGTATAGTTTATGTAGATAATATTTGGTCTTTGAATGATTCAAATTGGACGTTTGGTTTTGAAGTTATGGCGAAATTAAAGCTAGTATTTAATATTCAAGGTGTTGTGACGTCCCGAGGGCCATGTGTAATGTTTTATGCCATATGCCCGATGCCGGCTGAGACACACGACACCGTGCGCGCCCGGGCCTCCGCCCTTGTGATAATTTCTGCTGAAATCATATTAGATAATCCATTAATTCGTTCGTTAAAAACACTTGACACCAAAGCGGTCTCAATATCGGCAAGGAAAATTAATTAATGATTCATTTAAACTAAATTTTTATCAATGTTAATATTTATTTATTTTTGCTTATGTTCACGTTTTGGGTTATTAGTAATGCTAGAGCATTATTTAGTATTACCATCGCAAGAAATCGCGTTTTTGGTTCAACTTACGTGTCGCGTTAGCGCTAGTATAACTAGCTAGCTTTCCGTCCGCTTGGATTCAATCATTTACAAAATAACTTTTTTAGTTAACTTCTACATTATTTTAACTATTAGTACCAAAAAGTCGGTCGGTCAAGATGTGTACAGACATGGATGACTTTGTCTCTATATATTTAATCGTGATGCACCAAAAGTTCAACAGTAATGGTAATTATGTAAAATAAATATATATATATTTCTCCTTCGTTGTCGCTTGTAAACTTGGCACCTGCCACCGGCAGCCCCTTGCCTCCACGGTTGATGGAGCACGCGTGTCGTGGCGCGTGGGTGAGGGCCGCTGTGGTATTCTACCTACTCGAACATAGACTGGATGAGAATAGAGAATACTGTTATAAATCATTATATTAAAAACTGCACCCCTTTCGAAAATTGCGGAGCAGTTCTTAATTTGGCACAATAAAGTTTCTACTGAGAAGAAGTGCCGAGTGCTAATGTCTAATATATAAAGTTCTCGTGTCAGTTCTAGTTACCATCCCTCCGGAGAGGACTTGACCGATTTTATATACCTCCCCCAGCTCCTTCCAGCATAACGCTTTCAAGGTATACCGGTTGCTTGTACTACATTATCAGAAAATCATTAAATCTCCCTGGTTTCTTACTGGATGGTTATCATGTGCGAAGGCACTGTGTATACTTCATTGTCTTATCTAAATATTATATCTTCTGACGTTTTTTTACACCACATTTGCGATGTTCACTTGTTTCGTTACATTTGTGTTGAATATTGATATAATTCTTTGATTAAGACAGCTCGTGTTATACAAGTGATTTTGATAGCGAAGTCAGGTGGTACGTATAAGGGTCTGAATCACGCACCTTACGGACCGTGACGGTGGCGTCGGTCGCCGACATCGCGCGGGGCCGGGGGTGCAACGAACCTGAGCTCCTGACCCTTGATAATACCTGGTACTCGGGCCTCGGTGCTGATAATATTCATTAGCCAACGCTTTAACGTGTTGTTACATTAAAACGAGGGGGGGAATTTACACTGATGGAAATTCACCCTATGTTTTTGTATCTGAAACTTATTTTCCTATTTTTAAATTAATACATATGCCTGGATGTTTTCTTAAGAATTTTAAAAATGCATTGAACATATACGTTCAAACATTTCAAATATTACGGTGCTATTGTTCAATACATCAGCTCTTGATCTTACATTTTTTCCTGAATTCAAAACTTTTCGTTTAAAAAAGTAGACTTTTTTTCTTACCGAAATATTTAAACAATGACAATTATTTGTATAGTTATATACTTAACTAACTCAAGCCAATCTAATCAAATTCACTATGATTTCTTATAGTTTGAGTGAACTATTTTAAGTATGTAATTTAATAAAATTGATTATTAATATCTTAATATACTGCTATTGTTTAATTAGACAACTTAATCATGAATGGTGGTTATTTACTGATTATCAAAAATAGACTTTTACTTAATTGAACTATTAACAGACATGTTTATCATACCAACTTGGTGTTGTGATAAAACATGCTCTCATTGATAATAAATACCTAAATTAAATATATTCGTTTTGGTATTTGTTTGTTATCAAGTTTATACATAACAAACGTGTTCGCTTGACAAACGAGTGTGTACCTTTAGTTTATATTAAAATACGTTTCCGGTCACTTCGTACGAACATCCAGGTCGCAGGACCGATGACCAATACACGGGGCGGAGTACTGTCCCGACCCGGAAATAAATACCGGGCACCCGAGGCCCGGGGCTAGGCTACGTCGCCCGCGACTACGCACCACGCACGCAGGCCGCCGTCTAAATATGGACCAATTACCCGTTATTTATGAGATTTTACTTATTTGGCTCACTAAAGAAAAGCCCGCACCCGAATTTCGTATTCAACGAATGTAACCTAAGGTAATGACAGCTTTGAACTCGTCCAAAGTTTGTTCGGAGGCGTTTGTTATAAGATTTAAAATCTTCAAAAGATCGAATTAATGATGAAGTAAAACACGTGTGAATAGTAATAAACCATTTTTTCTTTGCTTTTCTATCTATATGTGTCCAAATGGAACAGGATTCAAAGAAGAAATTTTGACTCCCATCATTTCTTTTATGATCGATTTAAAATTTTGTCTAATGTAAATATTTTACGTATAGTCACGTTTTATGTTCATGTATATAAAGATCGTCGTTAGTGTAAGTGCATCCCGACGTCTGGCTACAACGTTTGGTTGGAGCGAGTGCGCTCTCGCAACAGCCACCAATTCGTCTTCCGCGTTCGTCACTTCTACATGATCGACGCTTTCTAAATGAATCGTGTCGTCTGGTACCATTTACTATTTGCCAATAATGTTTTACGACAGTGAGCAACCCTAGTGCAAGAGCGATATAAGAATCGGCATCGGATACTAATACGAACTGTGGTTTAATTATTGTGTCGTATTATATATGTATGTACAAGTACATTGTTTATGTACAATGTAATAGATAAATAATTGGCGTTTGTGCAGCTGCACGTTAATTAGATACAGTGAAAAAATTGTTGTGTCGCTACACGTGTACGTAGTTTATATGTACTGGTACTGGGGCCGTCAAAATGATAATCTTAATGAAAATACGGATCACATTTTTCGTTATTGAGAGATTCTAGAATGCGGTAAAAGTTTGTTTCAGGATTCCTTGTTAGTGTTATATTTCTCCGTAATGAATTGAACAAACCTATGTATGACATTAATGAATTAATTTTTGTAAAATGTTGACCCAAGAAGAGGACTCAATTCCCACGGTTGTTCGTAGCATAACATGTGGCGACTGGCCCACCACACAGCTGTTACGAGTACAAGGTTTCAAGCTGCTTACTGAAGTTACAGTATATATGTATAGGTATAGTATAATACACATATCATTAGTAAATGACCATTGAAATATGCTTCTCATGTGTTTAAGTTAGCTATCTTTTTCTCTAAACAGAGCTCAGCCATGGTGCAATCTTAAAATATTTATGTGGCATTATCCCAAGCCGCAACAGATAAAACTTAAGTATTCTTGAAGATATCAGGCGCAAGCTTTGTAATAACAAGTTTTAACGACATCTTTTAGTCTCTGACCTGTCCCGTTCAGGCTGTATGTTGCGCCAAGCCTGGGCCATTTGGCGTTATCTTATTCCAAATTCATATCTCGCTGTGGGGTTTTGTGACCTGCTTAATACCGTCTGCTATTTTGAACCCTCTTTGCGAATTTTTTCAAATTGTGACATCTTAATAAGTTAATATGGGGATTTCAGGTGCAAATATTTTTAACAAATAAACATGAATTAGAATGAAGTTAGAACTGTTAATAATATGAATACTTATAATATTTATTATCAGTTCTTATTTCAAATTCTTAGTGCAATTTCCTCAAATAATTATTTATCTCGACTACTACAAGTGTATGACACATATTTGAATCATTTATCGAGTAGACTGATATTTCCTTTTTATTTCTACAAAAAAGAAATTCTCAGCGAGTTGATCCAAACATCATTATTGGATGTCACTTGTTCGAGCACAAAGATTTCGCCTATAAAAGGTCCTCTATAGTGCTCTTTGTACAAAGAGGAACGGTCATTGTACTTGTGTGTGCACGCTCTTAGCCACGTGGTTCGACTCAATGGGCCTATTATTAAATTTGTCGAATTTCATGTCATTTTATATGTTGCAGCTATTCAAATATATAACTCTTGGTGTACCCACTGAATATATTACAGTTTATATTAACTTTTGTGTCGTACCTGTACATATGTAACAATCGTTTGGCATTGGCAGTTACGGATGGCTGACTTTGGACGGTTTGCCAAACATAATAAAAATAATCATTTAGTTTATATCGCTTAAATTACATAATTACTACTATTAAGGTTAATAATTTTGAATAAGAATGACATTCGTTAGTGTTCAAATGATTTTCTTATTTTTGTTGAAAAATTATAGTAATTTTATACATTCTTCAGAAACGGCTAATCCGAACACCATAAAGAAAATAATTGACCACCTGCCGTCTCCAATATCTTTGCCAGTTTGTGGAGGTCACTGTCCCTTCTAGATGTTGTTGTAGGCTTGTAGGTTGTTTTATTTTCTTATCCACCCGTATTGTTTGTGTGCAGGGAGGAGGTGCGCAATCACGCGGTGCGGTGGAACGCTCAGTTCTCGTTCGTGTGCAAGATGTGCGCCAACGCGAACACGGGCGTGCTGGAGCCAGCACTCATGCGCGTCTCCGTGCGGAAGGAGTGTAAGGGTCAGTACTGTATTGTTTGATATGTGACTTGTGCCTCAAAGTAGGACCCTGCCACTACTAGGAGTAGCACCGAAAAAGGCGAGGTCAAAGTGTGATGACCGATAAGACCCGCGGAATACCCTCATTGGGGGAAAAAAGACCGGGCACCGGCAATTGGTGCTCTGAATCTATGTTATTCTACTGCTGCTGTACGATCTAAAGATTCGTTTTAGTTTAACCGATACGCCATCAATTAAACCTCGACAATTCTGGTAAATAGTATTGTCTATTTACCAGAATTGTCGACGTTGTTTCATGACAAAGAAACGTATTTTCCTTCAAAACTCGAGTTATGTTTGATTCAAATATTGTTAAACGTTTATTTATGATTCGTCATTCGTGTCGGCTCCTTGAAATCCTAACATTATTTCTTGTTGCTTTTTTAATACAAGGTTTTATTGGCTTCTACGAAATATATTGTTCAAATGCAATAACATAATATTTTGATTAAATATTTATTATCATTAACGAGCTAGTTTTTTAACTGTATAAATGTAGTTTAATGCAATCAATCGCTTATCTTTTTTATGGGTTAGTTAGAGACTAGTGTCGTTGACTAAGGAAGTGTCGTTGACACAGCGAGCACACGAGTTTCCGGCGTCAATTCCATAATTAATCACACATCGTTTACAATATCGCCAGTAATATATTATAAGCGATGTTCTATTTTTCACTATTAGTATGAGTGAAAAATGAACTAAATTCACTAAAGCTTAATACACATTTTATTCGAACGTTATCATCAGCAGTTTGTTGACCTGTTTGCAAATCAACTTTTATCACCTGTAGATATGTCCATTGTGTAAATTCCTTATATGAACTTCAGATTTATTGATTATAAATGAAGCGTAAAGTCCAATTTTAATTTTCGTAGAGCCTCTTTATCCCAATTACACACGTCAAGCAGAATCAATTCCAAACATAAATACCGTGTTACAAGACATTGTCAATTTTAACATTAACATAATGAAATTCGGATTTAATTACATTTATATTAAGTTCGATTAGTTACAATGTAGATCAGCTGGAAACCATTATGCACAAAGTAAGAAAATAATTAGCTTATGTTTAAATTGTCCCTCAATAAGTTTGTAAAGTACTATATTTTTTGTAGTGAACAATATTCAATATATAACTCATAATAATATTCGTTAACAAATAACAGTAGGTTACGTGGGAGTAATAGTTTATTATTGTAAAGGAAATTGTTACAGTGGTTTTAAACATAGGTACTAACAACATCGAGAGTATTGCAGAAGTAGTGCGGCTTGGAGGAGTCGGGAATTATTCCCAGAACTCGTTAATGCACTATACAGTGCATCGCGATCGTTCGTTCTTCGGCGTAATGCCTCAGTAAATAAACGGTCCGCTTGTTAGAGCATATGGCGTAACTTGCCCACGATGTTGCATTTAATACTTTCGTCTATCGGGGAATAGAGTCTCGCCTAAACAGTGGATAGTTTATGAGTACACATGTAGCGAGCATTTGAAGATTCATTAAATCTTAACGCCTCGGCACTTATTCTCACGTTTTGGTACCTATTCAAGATTTAACTTGCCGCGGTAAACGAAGCAGATGTAGGTTTATTGATTCTCAGATTTCGTGTCTACGCATTCCATTTGATGATGTCATCAAACGCAGTCGCTTTACTAGAGAGGAGATTGGGCTTCTTGTCGACATTTCTGTTAGCAACCTCGTTACATATGTAAATTATTTTTAGACATAGTCACCATTCCTCTCAATGCAGGTGGTGTACCAGGGTATTCATTTTTTGATGCCTTCACCGAAGTAGTTTCACGCCAGCCTCTTCGTCAACTTCTCCACCTAATAGGTTTGAAAACCCTTTTGCATCCATGTGCAGCTTTAGGGAAGTAAAGAGATAGTAATGTGAAAGTTTTTGTCTCTATGGAATTAGCAGCATCTCGAAAACTCTTGCCTGGCGTCCACTCGATTCAACTTGTGTTGGTCTCTCAGTTGTTTTGGATATTCGAGAGTTTATGTGATGGTTTCGTGTCGCAGAGATATGGACAACTGCGGAAACATTACAGAAAGTTTATCAACAGTCAATCTGTGTAAGTCATATCTGTTGTGCCTTTGTTTATTTGTAAACAGAAACGTTGCCCTGGTGTGGTTTCGTTGGGTTTCATTAATTTCTTAGGTTTAACTCGACGTTGTAAATCTAAATTTATTAGCATACCTCAACCACCAATAATTTTAATACAAAAGAAACAACAAACTAATCATTGAGTTTCTTAGTAGCCAATATAATACAACTGGTGTTGGAAAATCGAAAATACTTAATAGTGCTAGATTTGGTTTTAGGTGCTAAAAGTCAAATGTCGGTACAAACCTTATGAAAATAGTGCCAGATCAAGAATCAAAAGTGCCAAGATGGCAACACTGAATACAAAATCTTTTTAATTTACTAACGGACGTCGCTGTTTTTCTTATTTCATAAGTGCAAGACTGAAAACCGTTTTGAATGAAGACTCTTAACTTTATTGGCCAAGAAGTGTATAGGCACTTAGTATTACTTTAGTGGTAGTGTTTGTGTTTATATATTCCCTGATTTAAGTAATTATGTATGTGTATATGTGTTGCAGGTGGTCGTTCGTACCAGAAGCTGGGCTTCTGCGACGTGAACCTGGCGGAGTTGGCGGGCGCGGGGGAAGCGACGCGGCGCTGCCTGCTCGAGGGATACGATCTGCGTCGGCGACAGGACAACTCGGTGCTGCGGCTGCGCATCAAGATGAGCATGATCTCCGGGGACCCACTTTTCAAAGTGTCAGTATACATCACATGCATTATAAAGCTGTAAATATCTTTTGGAAAATGGCATTTCCATTACTTCACTTTAGGGAAATTATGTGGAGTGGTATCCTCTTAGTGGACAAGTTGATATCTGAAAAAAATATCGGAATCCATTTCTTCGGCTTTCTGCCCGTTCTAGTACCGCTGCTCTACTCGATATTTATGGTATTTTATAGTAAATCCCATCCTACCACATCTTGATAACTCTTCTACTCTTTGATGCTTATTCAATATATTCGTAGGTAAGTCTGTGCTGCCCTTGCTAGTACGCATAGCCTTCAGTTCAGCCCTAACCCACAAATATATCTCTTAAATTTAACGGTGACCTTGGAAGTTAGACAGTGATTGGGTTAAAACTTTTTCAATTTCTAAACTTAGTAAGCCAATTGTGATTTAATTTACTGAATTATGAAAATTAGTAAAAGGAATCAATAGAGTGACCAAAATTTATTAAATATTGTTTGTTTTTTCATTGGTACAACACGTAAATGGCGTTTGTTCATTCATGAAATAGAAACGTCATTAGGTATTTCATGTGATGATGCTACTGAGTTGTTCCGTAGGTGGTCGTACGTAGCTCCTCGTTGCTCATTATTCAAAATATATCAAATCATACAGTGAGACGCAGAGTAGGCGCAGTGACTCATCAGTCACTGGCGTGCTGTGTGACGAAACGGTAATTTGTATGTGTCCTTCGAGTGCTTGTAAACAAACGTCAAGCTTTTTTTTTTAATTAATAATGATAATTCATTTATTTAGCAACCACACAATGTATGTATAGAACTCCGATTGAAGACTTTCAATTAATTTCTCATCATTTCGGCTATATAGTCCGACTTTTAATTAAATGCAGTAAAATAACATTCCTAATGTCACTTTGTGAAATAATATTACCACATTTTTTCTACTAGTGAGATGGCTAAAAAAGATTCTGCATCGATGTTATAGGTTGAAAGAAGACATTTTAATACACAAAATATTTAACTTTGAGTTATCATAAACACACACAATCGAAATTTGACTTTACCTTTAAAACATTTAAAATGACAACAAGATAATAGAAATAAATTTTCACTTTGATTTCTGTATATTTTAATTATAATTATACATCTTACAAGTTATATCTCGAGAAACGCAAGTAGATTTATTGGCTCTATTCAAATAAATCTAAAATAATAATTTATAACAAAATTTGTTATGCCGAAAAATCTATAAATTAAAAAAATATTTTTCTTAGAAAAAACGCTGTCCATCAAGTCAGTATACAAATTGTCTTTGTTGAGAACGTAGACAATCACACAAAATGTAGATAAAATTTAACATTTCTAAACTAATATTTAATTTTGACTTCACAAATGAAATACGCAGTCGCGCTAATACTCAGTTATCCATATCGGCATGGGTGTCATCCAGATGCATTTGTTGCTTCAAAGATTGTATTATATCCATATCATGCCTATAATATGCTATTTAGGTTCCTTTTATCATTTTTCATTTTAAATAATAGCCCATTCAAATTTTACCAATCAAATCTTCCCAAGGGGCCCCGACTGTGAGTCGTTCTGCTCTGTATTACTTAACAGAATTCTAAACTACTGGGCTTGTTTCTTTCTTTTTAGTTTTTATTTGGGTTATTGTTTTCATGTATTTTTTAAAATTCTTTTTTACGCTGTCGGTATTTTTGTTTTTCTTTAAATTATTTATTTTTAACAATAATTGTCTCTCTTCGCCACTATGCGAAATCTCGTTGTTTTTGCCTGTTAGATTGTTTATGTTAAGATTTATAGTGTTTCTTCTCTTCCTTTTATTCTTATAAAGAATTCCATTACGTATATTTATTAACAAAAAATAAATTATTTCAAAAAAAGAATATTTAAATAAACAAACTATATAAAATCTTATGGCGGGCGCCTTATACCGATGATTTTTTAAAATAAAATAAATGCAAATATTACATAGAATTCAAATTTTTTCAAACATATGTAATAAGCAGTGGTCGAATTAGGTAGAGTTATTCATGTACTTACACTGATTTCATACAGCGAAAGAATGAAGTGGATATGCCTCAAATCCCGAGATAAATTTTAAAGAGCAGAAAAAATCCCGTATTTTTTTAAATAAAAAGTTATTTACTTTTACACAATTTAAACTACTGCACGCACGACGTTGCCAAACTTACATCAATGACATCGGATGTCCAAAGATGTCCAAAATTGTCCATTAGAAATCCCGGGAAGGTCCACATTAATATCAACATTTCGATGCAAGTACATAAATAACTCTACCTAATTCCGACCTCTAGTAATAAGATAAGCAATAAAATTATTCGTATATTATAAACTGAATATTAATTAAATGAAACGATCAAACGGTGCGCCACTATTAATTTGTGGTAAAAAAGTGGTAACACATGAACTGTCATTATACTGCATATAATTAAAAGTCGATCTACTTCTATATAATTAAAAGGCCTACATATAATTAAAAGGCCGGAGCGCAAGAAGGATGCGCCCGAGGCGAAGGCGGACAGCGGGTCCGAGAGCGCGGCGCCCGACGACGACGCCGCCTCCTCCACCGCCAGCTCCGGCTTCGGCTCACTCACCAAGAAGAAGAACTATGGTATCATTCGAACATATCATACTGTCCTTCTTTATTCGCCACTTACACTCGCTGTATGATCAAACTTTCCATGTTCACTAAGCGTAACTTGAGACTCCTTTCACGTTCTGTGTATCCGTTCTTTTCACACTCATTAACGTGAACTATTCCTCCTTTCATCATTATCATACTATCAATCTCCGCTGCCGGGTATCTTCACTATGGATAAAATAGCCCACACTAGCAACAGGGACCGATAACTTAACGTGCCTACCGTTAGACGGACACGGGATTTAGTAATTTTTCAGTCAATCATTGGATATCGGTCTCTATCAAAGTTTTTTAATCTTTGCGATCGCAGACCGAAACCGTTAACGAAAGCGCCACCGAACTCCTACTCTCTACTATATTTTTACAACCATTCATTATATCACGTCGGACTATTGTTCATCCATCCACTCGAACTATTGTTTACTATGCCGATTTTATTTTTCAATTATGGATTAACTGAAATCCCATGTTTAAATGAGCATTGTTATCTTGGGTTATGAAATAAAACTTTCGAAATTTGGTACTTCATCTCTACTTTCTTTAACTTAATTTGATCAGCACTCCTATACTCATTATGTTCACAGAGGGCAGTCACTCGCAGCCGCTGTCGTCGCTGCCGTCGTGCGAGCTGCCCGACCCCGACTCGGACGACCCCGCCCCCGCGCCCTCCTCCCTGCCCGCGCCCGCCCCCGCCCCCCACCCCGCCGCGCTGCACGCCCTCGTGGACCACGCCGGCGGTAACGCGGCGTGCGCCTCCTGTCTGCAGCAGCACACGCACTCGCGCAACTCCTCAAACACCTCGGGCGATATGAGTAGCAAGGTATTTATTAAGTACCTATCTGTTTCTGTTACAAATAAAATATCGTACGGTGACTAGTATTACACGAGTTTTATTGAACTTATAATTGAAGTATCGATTCGTAAAAGTGGTGTAATTTTGCGATACAAAGTGTCATAAAAGTGAACAACATATTAGTATGGTTAAATGAAATTATATGGTGCGTGGGTCGTAAACGAGAAAAGTGTAACGTGAATTCAATGCGGGAAGGCGAACGGATCACCTCTTTCCTGTGGACTTCTCTGCATTTTTCACATTTTTCAGTTGACTAAAAACCTAAATGAATGACAAAATAAAAAAAAACCTCATTGTTTTAATGTAAAAAGAAGATTATTATAATACAAAAGTATTAGTTGTACGGGCTAAGATCTTTATTGTCTTAAGTCTTCTTTCGATGTGAGGTAGACTTTACATAGATGTTTGGTTAACTAAAACGTCTCAACCACACGCGTTATGTTTGTCCGTGACAGGCGTCCGGGTACGGCAGCTCCGCGTCGGGCGCCTCCGCCCACTCCCGACACAGCTCCGAGGGGGACGCGCCCGACACACGCACGCACCACAGGTAACACACACACACATCACACACAACGCACAACACACACACAAAACTATGCCTGTACATACGCGTGTACAATAACATGAGCTCGGGATATTCGTCAAAAGGGAAACGGGCACCGAACGTGTACATAGCGGCGCCGTCACCGACGCGCCACCCGACGCACCGGCATCGTAACTAACTCTCCCCGCTCCTATCTATTTATATTATTTTTATATAATTTGTTTCGTTTCGTTTTCGCCCCGGTTCTGTTTTAATCGAGCCTTTTCCCACTCCGCCCTCGGATAAGTAGCGTACGGATAGAGTGGACGTCTTCGACGGCGACCCGCTCGGTGAAGGTGGTGTTGGAGCGGAGCGACTCGTCGGATGCGTACAGGTCGCCGTCGTGCACGCTCATCGCCGCGCCGGACCTGATCCCGCAGCAGGAGCCGTGGTCGCCGGGCAGCGACGAGTACGCCACGCCGGACGCCACGCTGCACGCCGCCGACCACCGGCCCGACTACACGCTCACCAAGCAGCGCTCGCTCACCACCATCCCCTCGCTGCTGGAGCGCGCGCGGCGCGACGACCTGTTCCACAACTTCCCGTTCCTGACGCCGCTCGCGCACCGCAAGAGCGCGCTCGCCTCGCCGCGGCTCGCGGGCTGCCTCGAGGACGAGCTCGGCCGGGACGCGGACGAGACGCTCCCCCGCCCCCGCCCCCGCCCCGCCACCTCCACGCCCGCGCGCCGCAGCTACGTCGACGCCAGGTCAGTGCGCCCCGCCGCCCCGCCGCCTCGCCGCCCCGCCCCCGTCTCGGTCCCGTCCCGCTCGGGTCCGCCCTCGATTCTCGTTTGAAAGGGTATCGTTTAGTGGACGCGTCGACTCGAGAGCGTTTCAATTTAAATAAAAATACAAATTATCGGTAAATCCGCTCTTCTCTTTCCGTGAATTTTCGACTCTGTATATGTTCCATACATTTTACAATTTTGATATGCGATTTATATATCTATTATGTTACCTACACTTTATGCATAGTGTGGTAAATGAACATAATACTGCAAATTTTTACAACAAATATCATCAAGCTATTCGTCTGTTTTGGGAAAAGTATTTCAAAATTTTCATATGAATATATTAATCCACTATGAGATCTATTTTTCTTTAAAAAGTGTTATATTTTATTATATTTATAATTTACATATTTTATTCATAATTTAAATTGCTCCGCGAAAAGACTCGCAACAAAGACGTTGACGTTTGGTTTATTGAAATATGACGTCATACGATGCTCCGTCATGACCGCCCGCTCGCTTTTCGGTTCATGTTCAATTTATAGTAATTATTAACATATAAGTTGCCATTTTCATATACAACATATTTCATTAACTTATTGTCATAACCATGAAGTACGAATATCAAATAAAATCTCAATATTACCATCACATATAATAAAGTAATCATTTAGTTAAATCTAATTAACCATGCGCTCGCGTCTCCTGTAACGGTGGTGGTCGGGAACTGTCCGGGACACGTGGGCAGTGGAGGGGGGTGGGGTGGGTGGAGGGGGCTCGCCGGTTAACAGCGCTCGCCTCCTGTATACGTTCTGTCCCTCATTCCTCTGTTTAGTTCTAGTTCTTCTTTTTGGTTCTGTCTCTTTGTGCATGGTGCGGGTGATGTGCCGATTAACATGGGTTCGGATAGGCTAAGTAGTAGCATAAGAGCTAGAGGTGTGTCAATTTATTTGTATTTGTTAAATTGTTTATCAGCTATTAAGTCAACCAGTTGTTAAAAATCGATAAGAATTCGTATGTAATATTATAATTGATTTAATGTGGCTTATGTTGTAAAAGTGTGTAATTAAAAATTTTATGTAATTTTCTTTATTAGGAATCATGAATTTTATACAAAATGTAACTTGAAATTAAAAATATGAAGTTTGTTATAATATTGTTTATGAAGTTTTCCATAAACGTGTATTTTGAACTATGCAGAGCTAACGGCCGGTTTCTGAATTGAGAAAAGTACAAAATCAGAACAGATTATTCTCAATAACTTAAGTTTTTAAATGGTCCCAATTTTATCAAATTGTTATAAAGTGATCGTTAAAAAAATAGAATCAAGAAGGAAAACTTGTTTAAATGACGTTCAAGATGGCTAAGTACGGTTTGAGACGCGACGTGCTTAACTTTAAATTCTCAATTCAGAAAACGGGATATGTCTAAATTAAGTACTTGAAAATGGATGTGGTCTCACATAAAAGTATGTCACGTCAACGATGGATCTGTCTGCTTAGCGTCTATCGTAAAATAATCACTGCATATATATGCCACTTCAACACAACTTTAAAATTATCTGTAAACACTAACGCATCTTTTGTTTAGTCGAAAATATCATGAAATACCATAGATAAAATAATAAGGTCTTAAAGTGTATATGTTTTTCGAACTTTAATTTTAAAATATAGAATAAAATAGCAAAAATTTATTTTAACAACACACACAACATACCCAACACAGCACGAGGCGAGCCGACAGTACAGATAACAACAAAAATGTGCAATATGTTTCGTGCTCTCAAAACTGGCTCTGGTTCAGTATCGGCAACGGGTGTCGCCCGTTGCACAGGTATTATGCTGGAACCAGTGAATATCATATAAAAGCGCACACGGGCATGGTCGTGGTCGTGTGCGTGTGCGGCGATGTGACGCGTGTATGTGGCAGGCGCGTGGAGGGGGCGTGCGCGGGGCGAGACTGCGCGTGCGCGGCCGCCGGGGGAGGGGCCGCGACCGGGGGAGGGGGCAGGAGGGAGGCCTCGCTGCCGCGCCGCGCCTCCACGCTGTCAGTGGGCACCAGTAAACCCGCCCCACCGCACCACGCGCAATGCACGGATCCGCAGATAATGACTTGGGACGTAGCTGGGCGTGAACAAAACTCGCAATGAAAGAGATTTTGTACGATTTGGACTTAACCACCCTTAAAGGGGTGGTCTTCCTTCAGACACGATAACTAACCCCGAACGCATGATTGAAAATAACTATTGGATAAAGAATCATGTCCAATTGTGACCTAAAAATTACCTACGCTTTTGATGTAATATACCTATCTCAAAATGAAGCTTATTTTTACTTAAATATACCGTAATTTTAGATCCTAAAATATAGCCAGAAAAAAAAATCGAGGCAATTGTTTTTAAAAAGTTCTGTGAACACTACCACAATACGATTCGGACCAAACAATGACGGATTGCTATGTCTCGTTTTAGCTACCACGAAAAAACATTCTTTCAACGTTTACATTTTAATTTCTCTGGCCTCCGTTGAAAAGATGCTTATTAATTATTCTATTTTAAGCAAAAACAAATTTAAATTATCAGTAATGTAAGTAAACGCAACATTTAAAAAAATGGGACGGGTCAATCAATGTATGGAATGTGGGCATGATTCTTTTGGGAACGGTCGCTGGAACATAAAGAACTAGCCCTGCGCGGCCCACATCTAAATTAAAATAGTCAAAGTTCCCTGGATTTTACCAGACCAACTTAGGCCGGCGTGATAGGTATAGTGGTATCTTCCTATTTGATTTCTTCCAGTATGAAACTGTGCCCGCTGTGAGATATGATGACGATGGTCTGTGCAATGCGTTGTGGTGTTAGTGGGGACTTTAGATGTTGTATTGAATCGGTGTGATATGATTATACATATTGTAGTAGACTGGAAATATTCAAAAGGAATTTATTAACAAATAACGTTATAGATTAATAGCACGAGAGCTCGTGACAAAAAGAGTTTTCTTACTGTTGATACTTCAGTGTGTGGTCGTACAAAAGATATACATCGCCACGTGTAGAGGTCAAACACTGAAACATTTGATGGTCAAGTTGGTGTGAAAATCAACTCCGAAAAATAGTTTCGTAATAGTTGAAAATGTATTTGATTACTCTGACATTAATTTAGTAACACAAACATATTTAGGCGTTCGCTGGAATCGCTAGGAGTTTGTTTCACGCCGCCGCCGCCACCAGGTGTACTAGCACCTGACCTCCGCACTCCGTACTGAGTAAAAACTTTTAATTTTTCCACATGCTGAAGTATTAACCGTTAAGAACACTTAAACATACCTATTTGTCACGAGCTCTCCGTCTTACATTATTATTATTTTCTTAATTGTGCACTACTTTTTTAACAAAAAATATGTTTATATTTTTTTTTTTTTTTTTTATTATATTATTTATTTTGAGATTCAGAGAATACTGTTTTAAAAACATTTGTTAATAGATTCACATTATGATAAAAATTTATAAATTATTAGATGTGATTTATTCGCTTTTATTATTATAGTAAAATTATTTTATATTAAAAAAAATGTAAGTTGAATAAAAAGAGGCTGTGATTCATGATATGTTGTTGTTTTTATTAGTTGTATGATATTATAATTCTATGTATGTAGATTAATAATGTAAATATTTTAAATAACAATGCATGTCATTATATCTAACTTAAAGATAATGCTTCTTAGCATGGCTTTATACGATCGCGTCATTTCACAATGTTAATATGACATTTGGGTATATCGAGTGTGTTTTATATGAAGTGATGCAGTCAGTTGTCATATAAATGACTATGGCGTTGCATGCATGACATTATAAAGCTTTAATCATTCATCTAGCATGAAAAATAATTTAGTAAGGGATACTAATAATATCCACATTGTTTGTCATAAAAATGAGACGTTGAATTTGTATCTGAATGTGATGAGGGTTTCTAAATATTTAGAAAGAAAAAAAATCTAGAAAAAAATCACAGAAACTAGTGTTGTTGAATAACGATGTATTTCCATTTAATTTCAAGGAGTCCACAGGTGTATATGTACCACGTAGTTAATGTTGCCAGGTTAAATTTTCATACTGCTTAGAAAGATATATTAATCTCGCTTTACACAATGAAAATATTGTTTTACATGTCGTGCGTTTTAAAATCAATATATACAATAGTGTTACCATCTTTGTTTGTGATAGATCCATATTTTTTTTATTAACAATAAAAAACTACCTACATAGTATGGCTAAAGGTTTAGTTAGTCTAATTTTTTTCCAGCGACTTCGCCTGCATAAATTATAGCCGCGGGTGCGTACGATGTAGCTTCCCGTAGGTTTAAGAATTTAAAAAATCGGTCCATTAGTTTTAAAGTATGTAGACAAACATACAAGAAAAATAACAATCAAATCTTTCCCTTTTATTATATCAGGATAGATTATTACGAATTATTATGACCGGTCATCTTATTGAAGGTCACAATGTACCGTTACAGAAGACCTATTTTACCTCGACAACATTGTATTTTTGAGTAGGAAATGCTTTATTTTATTCAAGAAGAAGTAATCTTTCATTGTTACTTCTAATAGCAGTAGGTATCTAATTCGTGGTAAACTACATTTTGTGTGATCCTGTTACATTGCGACATGTTTGTTGACGCGTGTTGTACGCGCAGGAACCCGTCGTCCGGTTCGCTGACGGCGTCGGCGTCTGAGGGCGGGTCGCTGGAGCGCGCGCGGGCGCGGACGCGTGTGACGTCACGCGCGCCGCCCCCCGCCCCCGCGCCCGCGCCCGCCCCCGCCCCCGCGCCCGCGCCGCCCGACCCCGCGCCGCCCCCGCCCGCGCTGCCGCCTGACGATACACAGGTACGCGTACATTCAATCATATCTCTCCTAGCGGCCTACCTTCGATTGGCATGAGTAGATTTTTAATTTTTATGAACAGGATATCTTGAACTGAGATTTTTACTCTTGCGGCTGGTTTTTGAATTGAGAAAAGTACAAAATCTCAACTGAATGTTCCCTATTATTTTAAGATCCTAGTATTACCAAAGTGCTATCAACTGATCATTTAAAAAATTAAAACCTCTTTAAGGGACGTTTGAATATAGTCTGAGATGTACTCAATTTTAAATACGGGTGTAGACAGTAAACGAAAATAATTACATTTTATTATTTTTTGGTAGTGTTTAATATACTAATACCTATAATCACACTTTCCCGCTTATTATATTTATAATATAACTTAAATTAACTTTGAAAAAATAAATATGTCACGTGACCGCAAACAACCGTTATGACGTCACGACCCTCTTACTCATATCAGAACTTAGAGAATTCAATCTTATGCATACATAGAAGGATATTAGTTTCAGAGGGCCGTGACGTCATAGCGACGTTATGACAGAGTGGCGTTTTCGCGGGGAATTATCAAAATTAAATTTATTTCTAGATTTTAAGTCATTATACGATTGATATATTTTTAGATATATTTCATGTAGATCTTTAAAATAAAAATAAAAAAAAGTTGTCTAAACCCCTATTCTCAATTCAGAAATGAGATGATAATTTTGGTTACTGGTAAAAACTAGCCGAGTCGACTCTTGAGTATATTGTTAATTGGTAATATGTATTGTATTGTAGTGTAAGTGAGTAAATTCAACTGTTCAAATTAAAGTTTTCCACATATGTAGTATTCATAGCAACATTGAGCGAACCTTGTAGCAGAAACGACACTTATCATTTCAATTTATTATAAAAAGTTAGGAGTTCTCGTTGCTCCGTGATTATTTATTATAGAACTGTAGAAAATCATTGGTATTATGCTCGGTTGTAATTGTTTCTAATATGTCTGTTGTTGTGTGACGTCAGCACGCGGTGTCGTGTCGCGTGGAGAACACCCGCGTGAACCCCGACTCGTTGATAGACGAACTGCTCGCCGCCACCGACCTGAAGCACGCGGCCGACGACCCCGCAGAGAGTACGCTACTGTTACATTACTATTATTCGACGGCTTTATATATAAGTTCTCGGTCTGACGCGGAAGTTAACCTACTTTCGCAGGGATAGGTGATATGCTCCTCCGTGCCCAGGAGGTCACGTTGAACCGTCGGGTCCGGCTGCACCTTTAGTCGTTAGCACCGAGCTGCACCGGGCTCTCGTGCCTAGTTGAGGCTCGTCGTTTCTATTCGATTCGGACAGGCTCGTGACGACGACGACGATACCCAGGGGGCACCCATCTGCCTACCAGATACCAGACACCTGGGAGCCGCTTATGACTTTATTATATAATCGCGATAGACTCGGCCACCGCTCGTTTTGTCCTATGAAATGATATAAACGTGTCCCCCCTTGTGCAGCGTCGGGGCTGCAGCTGTTCATCACCCGCGACGGCACCGCGGAGCTGGGCTCGCGCCAGCGGCCGCCGCTCGCGCGCCGCGACTACCAGCGCGTGGTGCTGCATCCGCACGACAACAGGTCGCCACACACTACCGTCTACTGTTCTACGCTTGCCGATAAACTATCGATGTATCGATACTTTTATCGATATTTTTAACCGATATATATTGATCCGATATATCGAAATATCGATTCAAAATATCCAGTATAGAAAATTGTATCGAAAACGACATTTTTTTTAAATCTTATGGCACTGAAGTCGCTGAAACCCGAAACTGTAGAAGATAGGATCGAACGAAAAAAAAACTATATTATCTTTGACATATTCTTGACATTTTTGTAGTTTTGCCTAATAAAAAGGGATACTGGTAAAATACTTTCGTATTTATTACGATGTTATCAATATTTTCCTTTGATATATCGATGCCAATATTGATATATCGATACTTTTTTCATTTGCGACATCCCTACTCTGTTCCGTCGTCTCTCGACTCTTGCGTACGACGCGTCTTGTGATCGTCTTTTCTTCTCATTCCAGATAGCAACCGGCCCGAGATTAGATCGCTTCCTGTGTTATACGAAGGTCGCTCTCCGAGAGAACGACTCGACGATGCATATTTATTGTTTTATTTTTATTCGTAATTTATGCCATAGATTGTTTTACAATTTGTAACTTAATAATGTTGATTATTATTATTATTATTCGAGAAATAGCTATTCTGTGAGAATGGTTGTATGTGCAATCCGAATGGTTTTGTATGATTTATATAATGTTTTATTTTTAAGTAGGAAACTTTTCAATTGTAACATCGACCTCCGCGACGACTGAACGTTCCTATATGACGTCGGGCGGCGTCTGTGCTTCCCCCCCGTTTATACCCCCCCGCGGCCGGCGTCGCCGCTATTGTGATTTTGTTTCTATTTATATTTATTGTGAAGCGCGCGCCGCCGCTACACTTCCTATCGATTCCCAGTGCTTCTGTGACGTATGTCTAATCTGTGACGTCCCCTGCCCCGCCTCCTACCTCGCCTCTGCCGATCTGTCTCGCTAGCGCATATGCGGAGTCTATTCCTGTATAATCCTTCCCGTTTTCCGTTAAAGAGTTAACATGAACCGTGGAGTGCTCATATACCTGGTGCTAGGTCGGTGTGTGTACATAAACGTGTACGCGACACGCGACCGTTGCGATCGACCGTGCCCCGCCCTTTTTGATTGTCTTTCGATAAAAATGAACTTCCGTATCCCTCCGTGACGTGCGCGCTGCACACTCAACGGAGCAGCGCTCTGAGCCAATGTCGAGTCGTCGTTGCCGCTGCCCCTACGTACATTCTTACGTTTATAGAGCGTAATTTAATGATTGGACTATCATAGAATAAGTCAAATTAAAAGTATTTGATTCGCGAAAAGTAACATTAGAAATGTGCAATAACAAATAAATCTTTTAGATAAATTTAATTTTAAAATTGAATACTGGGATTTGGTTGGTGGATTTTTTAAACATTTTTCTTTAAGAATATTTCCCAGTATAGCATTGTGAATGCAAAATATATAAAATATTGTATATCTGATTTAATTTTAAACAACGAAAAGAAATATAAATTGAATAAATATACAATCACTATTTTCTCACACCCCCATATCTTAAAGGACAGTAAGGGTAGGTAGGAAGGTTATCCTAAGTGAGGTACCCCGCAGCAGATTTTATCAGGTAGGTACACTGAAATCGGTCCTTTCGAGGCGGATCCTAGTGGTTGTAGAGCCCTGATTTAAGGCATAAAGTGCATTTACCTTGCGGTTCATTCATAAACATTTTTTTGGAGTTCATGCATAACATTTTAACATACTACATACAGAGATTTTGGAAAAAAATAACTGTCTGCAAATAATAATTTTAACATCTCAAATAAATTGACAATTTATATAATAAAGAATGTTTCGAGAATGTTTACAAAATGTATAGGGAAAGTTTTTGACGATTTCTTGTACCTTAAATGGTGAGGTACCCGTAATGTTTTCCTCCACACACAGGATGGACAGGCATGCATTTTTGAATATTATTGCTTTGAAGTTGACAGTAATTTTTCTAATGTTGTTCAGAATAACCAAACAGTTATGAATGGTCTCCTAGTAATCTTTTCATATAACTACAACAATTATGGAAGGTACTTGCTCATACGTCCCCCGTCCTGAAAGTTCCACTCAGTATATATAAGAAAAAATCGAACATAACACAATGCCATATTTTTTGTGATTGTGCCTTTTCGTACAGCTACTTCAATGGTAACAATAGTAAATCAAGTTAACTATAATACTATGTACTCGTATGTATCAAAGTATCTTAGTGGCATAGGCAAGGGCGAGTCGATAGTGGAGGTATATAATTTGTATATCTAAGTCATTCCGTTGGTGGTAGAGAGAGAGTGAGAGAGAGAGAGAGAGCGTGTGTTGCCGCGCGAATAGCGCTCGTATGATCGACGAAAGTTCCGGGCGGATGTGGAGCCTGACGAGCCGACCGATGCTGTGATATGTAGCTAGTTGTTAATGGAACTTTACTCGATAATACTCGGCGAGCGAACCGCGACACGCGTTGTTATTGTAACATATTATCATGTATACAGTCTGTACAGTATTTGATTAAAGGACGTGTTTAGAACTAGTCTGTGGTTTCATTTTAAGATTTTTTCGTAGGTTATGTGCAGTGGTCGGAATTGGGTAGAGTTATTCATGTACTTACACTGATTTCATACAGCGAAAGAATAAAGTAAATATGCCTAAAATCCCGAGATTAATTTTAAAGAGCAGAAAAAATCCCGTGATTTTTTAAATAAAAAGTTATTTACTTTTACACAATTTAAACTACTGTACGCACGACGTTGCCAAACTTACATCAATGAAAGAAAGAAATAAAGAAAGAAGAAATAAATAAATAAAGAAATCCCGGGAAGGTCCAGATTAATATCAACATTTCGATGCAAGTACATAAATAACTCTACCTAATTCCGACCTCTGGTTATGTGTCAGTCTAGCGGAGTCAATACTCTGGGCGAGAGACTAGAAAAGAGGAGAGCGAGAGTGAAATATAGTATAGATTCTCCAGCCTTTTAAATTAAATTAATTAACACATTCAGTGGTCACAGAGTTTATGCGAATCTATTCAATAAGTCTCGTTGAAGCCAAGCGAGTTTTGAATGTTAGTCATTCAAAAGTTTGTTTTAACATTTTCTAGATTCGGAATTCAAATCATCTAACTGAATATCCGTCGCGCATATCACATGAGTATGCATCAGGCAAAGAAATGACGCCAGCTTGCACGAGTGTATATTTTTCAATTCTGATATTTTGTGACACGACGCGTTTTTCGAATTTTCAACCTTTTGCATGTACTTGTTATCTATCATGTCTTTGAAATGAATTCTTGATATGTAGTCCTTTCTTATCAGTGCATTACGAAATAGGGACAAATAGCCAAGTTACGTAGTTTCGGAGATAAACGAGAATCTTTGTGGGGCTGCTGGGCTGATCGGTATTTATGAAATTCCAAAAAAAAAGAAAACATTTTTTAATCCTTTCTTTAAGGCTAAAGTGCGAGGGCAGCCCGACGATTTATTTCTCGGCATAACCTTTTAGGTTTTACATTTTTCATGTTTGGAAATAAAAAGCTAGATAAAATAATAATAGATAAATAAAATTTCATGTAGAATGTAATCTCGCGAAACTTCGATCTTGAATTTTTGTCACGTTACCCTCCGTAGAAGCCGTTTTCGGAGCGCCTGGGCGTTGCTCATCAAATACCGACGTGCGACCACGTTGAAACTTATTAAACCCATTTTGACGATCGCGATCGACTCTTTTACATTTAATTTCCAATTCCATTGAAATTTTGACAGTAGCCGTCTAAAATAATGTTCTAACCTAGCATTAATAAATTAAACTTGACCCCACGTTTAAGCTCGCGCTACTCATGAAATTTCTTATTATAAATAAAAATCCGTAGAAGCTTTGAGTGCAGTCTACGATATCAAAAAATAACAAGGATTTTTGTGATATATAGTAAAAAAAATAAAATCAGTCGCGGAAAATTCGTGTTTTTTTTGACGCCCTAAATTTCATCATTAGCCCTGTTACGTCCCCACTACAAGGGCTCTGCCTTACTTATGGATGGTTAAGGTGATTAGGCCATAACCCTCACGTTGGCCAAATGCGGATTGGAGGGTATTAACGACTGTCAATGCAGCCGGGACCAACGGCTCATCGAACCTTCCGTTGTACGGAGCACCCGGGGATAATATTTTTTTGGTCAACCATCTCGTGATCGATCCTTGCGAAAGTCTCTTAACAACAAAATTCGTAAGCCGCGGCGTTCATCTACCACACCAACGAGCTACTCATACATACGTAACGTTATTTTAACGAAATATTTTTATAACGTGATCAAACCTAGAATCGGTATAATTAGCAAAGTCAAATGTGTAACGCCTGCCATATTGTGGTTTGGTACGATAATGTGTTTGCTATATTATATTATAAGAGGAAAGATTCGATAGTTCCCTTGCATTGAGTTGATACTCGTCGAAACCACTGGATCGATTTATTCGATTTAAAAACTCTTTCAACTAGTGAAGGTACCTCGTTTGCCCGTGACATATGCTATAATTAACGAGAGTGATGTCGCGGGTAAACAGCTAGTATATTAATGTAGTGTCACGCTCAAGGTGTGGTAGATGTGAGGGAAAAAAATAAAAAACATCTTCATATAGAACGGTGTTTAATGAGTTAACAGCCAATAGGCTGCAGTGCAATAACACACAAATTTCATTCAAACTATTCTTACTGTGGACGGTAACATTGCTTGCAGTAAGTCTCCTCATAGCTGCGCGCTCCTGCTTGCGCTGATCTGACATTCATATATTAACAAATCGATTAATTACATTATTACAATATAAATTCATTACACTATATTACTATGGCTGTTCCAAATTATACATCGAAACTTTGACAATTTGACACAGAGTCATTTTAATTTTAATACATACCTTAATATAAGTTGCTAATGTATATTTTCATATAATGTAACATGATGTTGAACCTTAGTATCATTGCTAGTTTTAAATACTTTCAATTAAAATAGGTTGATTTTATTACAGAATAGTTGCGCACAAAAAATGCAGAATCCTAAAAATTGCAAATTCTAAGTTTAATTTCGGAACAGCCGACTACCCTTATACTGCAGTATCATAATATGAATACGAGCGACAATACAATAAATATAAAACAATAATCCAATAAAAAACCTATAAGTAAGTCAGGTGAAGAGTTAATCTACTAGATTTATGTACAATGATTATATAGCAATCGTTACAATGTTGCATATTTGGTAGAAATATCGATAAGAAATATGATACACAGAGAAGGGAAAATTTGCAAAATTAAGTACAGAGCGAAAATATAGTACTAAATGCATATAAACAATAAATAAAACAGTATAACCTTAACTTGTCCGTCGGGCAACTCATAATAAGAATTATCACATTTTATTCACACCTGTCGCTTTACATAACAAAATAATATATAAAATTCATTGGAGATCTACGCAAGGAATAAATGTCAAATTCCCAAGCGGCGGAATGCATAAGTACATGATTGAGCGGCGGACCGCCTACACTAGCGGCCGCGGAGGTTACATCTACACATACTTAACCTAACTTAATGTAACTTTATCGATATAGTGTGTCAGTCATCGAGTACAAGTTCGCTAACCGGACTTTAATGACGATATGACGTATAAAACTCTCAATATACAGACTTTGTTTAAGGCACGGGCGGTCGCCGCACTCCGGCGCGCTCGCCGCATGCGGGGCCGCACGACTCTGCGTCCGCGCGTCGCTATCACTATAGTGATATTAAAATATCTCAAATAATTCAGTTCGACAGACTCATCGTACATGTGTCAGAAAGAGCGCCAATGATCTCCGAGCAATATAGAGAAAATTATACTGAAAAATCTTCAATCGCTTACAACAGTACGATATTTTATGAAACTTTCATTGCTTAGATACCGTTGTCGCTACGTACGTTAGAGAATTTAAATCAATATTGAGAAGTACAGCATAAAAAGTGCGTGCACGTGCACGCAGACGCAGAGCGTGCACCGGACGAGGCGCGGAGTCTCGCGGACGAGGACGCCTTCACTATCGTTTAATTTAGAATGTTGCACGCTTTTTTATTTCACTTAAGACTAAACTTACCGACTACGTACCGGCGCACGGCGAGTGCGACGGACATGATTCTATAGACTACACTTTATCTCTACAACATATGGAGTACACATTGCTTTTTATTATAAGAGCATGAATAGATAATATGTAATGATACTTGAATATCTTTTTTATATGTTCACGTATACGTATTAGAATACTATGTTAACGTCGGTCGGACTCGTCGCGCGATGTTTATACAATACGGTCTTTGTATCGGCCGATCCGTCAGCTTGAATCGCACCGAGCGATCGCTACGCCTTAAAGCTACCTTATCTACTTATATTACTAATTAGTTGCGGTTTCTAATACGCTCACGACGCATCGGTATATCGGGGATGCGTCAGCGCTTCCATTTCACTATTACTATAAATAAATAGGTCGACGTAATAGACGTCCACATAAACTATTTTGTGTATTTTGGTTAAAATTAAAAACGCATCGAATATATGTCTACTCTACGAGGCGTCGGGAAGGTACAAAAGTTAAACATTCGTCAATATATAAAATAATACGTCGAGTCGTCGGTCGCTCGATCCGACCGGTCCCTCTCAGGGGCGACCGACGAATCGCGACTCTCGGGGACTCGCAACTTATATCGACAGACAGCATCGGTTTTCTATTCGACATCGGATACGGAGACGACGCTGTTTTTTCTATTAGTTTTATATAAGCTGCACCCCCCAGGAAAAGATCACTCGTATGAAGTCAGTCGGAATGGGTTCTTCATGCTGCGTATTATAGGGGGGCAGTACTCCCGTTCGCTGGGGGAGTAGGTCCCCCGCGTGGCCGCTAGTGCCTCCGGCGGTGGTGTTATATGAGTCGCTCCTCGGGCGGCGGCTTGAGCGCGTGGTGGTGGTGGGCGCGCGGGTTGCAGTACTCCTGCCCGCTGGGGGAGTAGGTCCCCCGCGTGGCCGCTAGTGCCTCCGGCGGTGGTGTTATATGAGTCGCTCCTCGGGCGGCGGCTTGAGCGCGTGGTGGTGGTGGGCGCGCGGGTTGCAGTACTCCTGCCCGCTGGGGGAGTAGGACCCCGCGTGGCCGCTAGTGCCTCCGGCGGTGGTGTTATATGAGTCGCTCCTCGGGCGGCGGCTTGAGCGCGTGGTGGTGGTGGGCGCGCGGGTTGCAGTACTCCTGCCCGCTGGGGGAGTAGGTCCCCCGCGTGGCCGCTAGTGCCTCCGGCGGTGGTGTTATATGAGTCGCTCCTCGGGCGGCGGCTTGAGCGCGTGGTGGTGGTGGGCGCGCGGGTTGCAGTACTCCTGCCCGCTGGGGGAGTAGGACCCCGCGTGGCCGCTAGTGCCTCCGGCGGTGGTGTTATATGAGTCGCTCCTCGGGCGGCGGCTTGAGCGCGTGGTGGTGGTGGGCGCGCGGGTTGCAGTACTCCTGCCCGCTGGGGGAGTAGGTCCCCCGCGTGGCCGCTAGTGCCTCCGGCGGTGGTGTTATATGAGTCGCTCCTCGGGCGGCGGCTTGAGCGCGTGGTGGTGGTGGGCGCGCGGGTTGCAGTACTCCTGCCCGCTGGGGGAGTAGGTCCCCCGCGTGGCCGCTAGTGCCTCCGGCGGTGGTGTTATATGAGTCGCTCCTCGGGCGGCGGCTTGAGCGCGTGGTGGTGGTGGGCGCGCGGGTTGCAGTACTCCTGCCCGCTGGGGGAGTAGGTCCCCCGCGTGGCCGCTAGTGCCTCCGGCGGTGGTGTTATATGAGTCGCTCCTCGGGCGGCGGCTTGAGCGCGTGGTGGTGGTGGGCGCGCGGGTTGCAGTACTCCTGCCCGCTGGGGGAGTAGGTCCCCCGCGTGGCCGCTAGTGCCTCCGGCGGTGGTGTTATATGAGTCGCTCCTCGGGCGGCGGCTTGAGCGCGTGGTGGTGGTGGGCGCGCGGGTTGCAGTACTCCTGCCCGCTGGGGGAGTAGGTCCCCCGCGTGGCCGCTAGTGCCTCCGGCGGTGGTGTTATATGAGTCGCTCCTCGGGCGGCGGCTTGAGCGCGTGGTGGTGGTGGGCGCGCGGGTTGCAGTACTCCTGCCCGCTGGGGGAGTAGGTCCCCCGCGTGGCCGCTAGTGCCTCCGGCGGTGGTGTTATATGAGTCGCTCCTCGGGCGGCGGCTTGAGCGCGTGGTGGTGGTGGGCGCGCGGGTTGCAGTACTCCTGCCCGCTGGGGGAGTAGGTCCCCCGCGTGGCCGCTAGTGCCTCCGGCGGTGGTGTTATATGAGTCGCTCCTCGGGCGGCGGCTTGAGCGCGTGGTGGTGGTGGGCGCGCGGGTTGCAGTACTCCTGCCCGCTGGGGGAGTAGGTCCCCCGCGTGGCCGCTAGTGCCTCCGGCGGTGGTGTTATATGAGTCGCTCCTCGGGCGGCGGCTTGAGCGCGTGGTGGTGGTGGGCGCGCGGGTTGCAGTACTCCTGCCCGCTGGGGGAGTAGGTCCCCCGCGTGGCGCGCTTGCGCCGCGCCTGCGCCGCCAGGGCTGCCAGCGCCGCGCCCGCCGCCGCCAGCGCGAGCAGGGCTGCCCCCACGCCGATCAGCACGGACGACGTGTTGCCGCCCCCCTCCGCCTCCGCCTCCGGCGGGACCGCCTGTGCACACGACCGTATTACACGATGCATCGAAATCGAGAATTCATTCGAAACGTCGTAATTAAACATTCGGTGCAAATATAAAATTGTAATACGTGTGAATCTACGTATGCCGAAAGGAAAGATCCAAACGCATAAGTAAATATTCCAAAACGGCAAAATATTATTGACATATTTAGAATACACACTAAAATAAATTTTCACGTTCAAAAAAAACAATCGCAACAATAGTGAAGATATTAAAACAAGAAAAATAGTGTACACTATTTAAGACGGCGAATTCTAAATGTATAATTAAAGCTCCCGAGTCATGTGCGGTAGCGTGTAGTGACCTGGTGTTCGCAGTTCTGCCCCGCCCAGCCGTCGGTGCAGCGGCACTGGTATGCGGGCACGTGCGTGCAGGCCTGCGCGCACTCGGCCCCGTGCAGGCAGGGGCCCAGGGTCCGGTTGCCCGCCACCCCGGGGCCCGCCGCCTCGGCACTCGCCACCTCGGGTCCCGGCAAGAAGCACGGGTCCTGCACCGCGCATTCCACCCCGCAGAAACCCTCCGCGCATATACACCTGAACACATGACATCATTACTTACTATCAGTTTCAATAATCTACTGACAACCGACAACCTACCGGCTGTTTTTTGAGCTACCGATAACCATTCGTTTTTGTGTTTTAAGCGGGGAGTTCACTAGACAGGCACGCCCGCGGGCATGTCTGTCGTTCACAACACACTACAGAGACTGGTCAGATAGTGTTCGACGCGCTAAGCGACTGGTTGTGCTATCAGTACATATTACAATGGCTACGAAACGGAAAAAAAATACCATTAGTTGCTGCTGCATTAATTCTATTTGACGAAAAGAAAAAGAAAAGAGTTTGGTGTAAAGAATGGTATAAAAACAGAAATAAGTAGCCATATAAATTTGCTTAGAGAATTAGAAACTGATGAATCAGGTGACTTATACTAGTACATGCGCATGGATATTTATAACATCTTCCCAAAATGTAAATAGTTTTCATTAAAACTCAATTTGTTTCACGTCGTCGACGTCCGTAACGCTTGCTGTCCGGCTCGGGTCGGTATGGTAGTTTGTTGAAAAGCGTTAAAATAATAGGTTAGAATTTTTTCATCTTTTTAATAAGTTTTAAAATTAAAAAAAAGATGGATTATTGATTTAAGTAAATTTATACTTTTCTTTAACAATTTATAATTTATATTAACAAGGGAAAACGTGTACCTTCTTTACAAATATCTATACAATAACCGATGCAAGATGGCCGGTAGGCAAATTTGATAAGCTATGGATTTTGACAGCCCTACCGACGGATATATTTTTAATTGAAACTTTCTACGGCATTTTCATACATTTTGCCCACGAACGGTTATCGTTAGCAAATCAATCCACTAGTAGCACACCTACCAATGATATGTTATTGAAACACTACCATAGGTAGCAAGAACGGATAGTCATTTTTGTTATTGAAACTGGGGTTAGTTGCTCACTCCCTATTGGACAGATCACTAAACTGAAACCTTTTATACGATACCCGTGAGATTTCAAAACAATATTTAAATATGTTTCTCGTATAACCTTATATTGGGGAAATATAATTATCCAGGTTCGAATCGAGCGCTAGCGAGGTTGACTATTTTGAGTATATCTTCTACTCGGAGAGTATTAAAATAGTTTCGACCGTGCTTTTGGCTGAAAATGTATTTTCCCCAGTTGCTTCGTGATTCGTTGATCTTGACTCCAGATTCTAGTCCTTAATATCCATCGATCCACGCTAGACTAGCGTCGCGAATAGGGGCTCAGCAGTGCCTACATCGGTCGTCTCCCGCCGAGGAGATACAGTACGAGCGGGTAGATGGGCATAATACTCACTTGTAGGAGCCGTCCAGGTTGACGCACTCGCCGGGCCCGCAGCTCACCAGGCCGCTGCCGCACTCGTCCACGTCCACCTCACAGCGGGCGCCCGTCCATCCTGGTGACATCACGACCATTCATTGCTTTCCCATCCCATTCAATTTTACAGACAAAATTTCGAAAAAATATTGATGCAACTGTTATTCTTCATTTATTTAATAATGAAAG